CACAAACAAACAATCACACTTAGTTGGGCAGATCAAAAACTAAATCAAAGGTATACTAAGTGAAGAATGACAGATGCTAGAAAATTAAAACAACAAACCCTACACAGATATACATATCCCTTTCCCTCAGATCTTCTTCCCCAAATAAAATACATGATATAGCATTTAACTCATTACAGATTCAAAAGAGCTAACAACTAAAAACTAGAAAACGTGACGTAACCTTTTTATCAAGAGTTAAGTGGACAAACTTATTAGTCTCCAAGCAGCCAAGAAACTAGAAATCAAAACAACTCTGTCATCAAAGGCCTTCCATCATCACAAAAATTCCTAAAGGACAAATGCATTAATACATGGCTAAATTCAAAGACATCCACCGACTTTGATCAGGCTAATGAATATTTATATATAACAATAAGGAGATGTGGTATGATTGCAAAACAACTATCCTACAGAGTCCAAAGGACAAGGGTTTAACAACTATAGGGTACTGAACCCCCCTTGACAACAATGAGCAAAACCCCTACTATATCAATAGCTATAAAAGGCCCAAACATGACAAAATAAAAAATAATTCAAGAGAATAATCCAACATAAACATATGTAAATTAAATTCCCTATATTCAATTAGGTATATTGTAGGCAAGACAAATTATTCTACATATGAACCAAGAATTCACAACTTTTAGCTCTACAGCTTATCCTTTAACTTAATATAGCACTCTTAAATCTCTAGTAATCACCTATTTTTTCTGACTGTTTGAACTCTAAAATCTCTTGTAGAAGATTACCCCCTATTTTTTCTGACTGTTTGAAGTCTATCTACTGACAGACATGATTGGAAATATTGTGATCAAAGGAGATTCATTATTGGTATAATTATTCCCATCAAGAAAATGACACCTAACAGATCAGGACATGTTTCTTGGTATATCTTGACAATACTTTAGTATATATGTATGTCTATGATGTCTGAATGACAGCTTGTCAATATTTCAAATCCTTGAAAACATGCAAAAGTTCAGACAGGTTCAGATATAAAATTGAACTTTCTGTAATGAAGTTTTTAATAAAAACCTAAACAGATTTCATTTACAAGAATAACATTTTATATGGTTTACAATGGACACAAGTTTTTACAATGTCAAAAAAGATTTCATCTTATTTTATTTTTACTTTGCTCATTTTGTTCAAAAGGTACCAGTAATCAAGTATATCTGATAAAAAGGCAGAAATGGTGTAACAGGAAATTATATATTTTTAGGAATCATAACATTACAGGTTATCTGCATATATAGGATCCAAAGGAAAAGAAATAAAAGCACCTAAATCAATAAAAAAACAAAAAACATTTCATTTCACCGACTTTATATTAATAACTGTCGTGAGAAAATAATGATAAAATTACGGGATTGTTTCATTTGTACTTTTGAATAAAAAATATGCCTACATGGTGATATCTTTTTGTCTAAGTTGAAATGCGATGATTTATTGGTCTGAGAAAATCCATTCTTACGTATAGAGCTGTTCGCTTAATTTTTTTTTTTTTTGTGTCTGTGAATGTTTTTCGTTACAATGAGACAGACCTTTTTCAAGGAAAACATCTACATCTCGGATTAAAACTCTATCAAACAGTGTCTGACCATATAAGACAAGGCCTGATTAACGTTAGATTTACAGTCTCTGGGGGACATTTATTACCAGTCTGAGCTAATTCTTTACATGAAAACAAAAGACAATATAAAATCCAGCAATTTTCTCCTGATTATCCACTAAATTAATGACATTAAATCTGCAGCATGCCTGGCTTTCCTGATAGAAAGAGGCTTTAGATACAATATGTCTAGGGATAGGACTCTGTAAGGTGAAACAAATGTAAAGATGTACTGTTAAAGTTCTGGTGGTTCTGAATAAAAAGTATGACATTTTTTCCATTCAATATTGAATTTTTATATAACAATTTGCATTTAGCCAATAAAACAGTCTGACTAAAACCAGCCCCCACTATCAACTTGTGTTTGTAGTCTGACTAAAAACAGCCCCCACTATCCACTTTTGTTTGTGTACAAACAGGGATGGTTTTAGTCAGACTGCCAATAAAACTAAAACTGGGTTTGTTTTTCGTACATCAAACTAAGGTTTGCCCCTAAATATACATTTTTTTTCAGTGTTTATTTCCCATTTACACCTTTACTTCAAAGAAACTTGAAACAACTCAATTTGTCCAGTACACGTCAATCTTTACAAAGAACATTGAAAATTGTAGACAAGTCTTAAATGAAAATTATGACTTCAGGATTCAAGGCCTCATCTAGACAAATTAGACAAATTCCTGTTGCCTGACAGTAGTTTAGATTTTAGGAATTTTGAAACATTTAGCTGTATGTATTTCTAAGGAACTACATATAACAGAAAACAATGGAGACACCTTTCATAGATAGCCTCCTGATCCAATTTATATATCTATATGCTGTTATATCACGGAGAAACAATAAAAATGACCATTAATTATTAATGGAATGGTCATTACTAGATGGTACAAAAGGATAAAAGAAAGATTAGATTATTATGATGATGGACAATGGATATGAGAAAGATTGCATTTAATCAATGTGAAGTCTAGAGACCAATTAGTTTTTCATTACTTTATGATTCAGGAGATGCTGGTATCAGCAGGTGTGAATAAGTACCTACTATATACTGGTATATGAAAGCTCAATCTACAATTAGACCTTTAGATTTATTTATAACAAGTGTATCATCAATATTTCATTTCCAATTACTCCTTATAATGCTTCTCACATTATTCCCTCATAAAAAACAAATGTAACCACATTATCAAATATCACTCCTTTTTAAAATTTCCCAGGAATCAAAGGTATTATGTAAGTGTTTTTTTTTTTTTTTTTCACAAAATTTAGTTAAGCAAATATCTACGAAATTCGTTAAATTTCATGTTGTTGAAACAATCACCAGAATAAACATTTGGTTTACACTCTTTGATAAGAAATTTGTCTTTTGCATACAAATAGGCAAAAAGCTCATATAAAAATACTCCTAACTGGATGCTTAAAAGTGACATGAACAAATAAACCTGTGAAAAAAAATCATGGCCTGCTGGGCTCTAATTCCAAGTTCTTCTTTCTCCTAGAGCCTATCAATTTTCTCCCGATCTTTCAGTTCTCTTCCATCTTTTCCAATGTATATATCCCCTGTGTACAACTTCAATACTATAAACTCTTGCAAGTACTCTATTGAACTGTTATAATGTAGTGCAAAACTCAAAAGTTCTAATGAATGAATAAAGAACTAAAGCACTGCAGGAAAGCTTCTATCATTATAAGATTGTTGTACACATCTGAAAACATTTTACCCCCAGCAACTGTTCTTTTCAGTAGTAAACATTATTTGGAATGAGGGTTAAAGGTGAAAGTGTTTAATTAGCATTTTATGTTCTGTGTTTCATAATTAACTGTTTTAATTGTATTTCTGGTAATGAATTTCTTTGGTGTCAGTGTAATGCATTATGAAGTCAACCATCTACCATATAAACAGTCCATTAACATTCACAAGATATCAGTAAAACGGGGTTTTCTAATAATAAAACATTGCCTTCATGAAAATATAAAATAGAAATTTCATTATTGACTGTTATTTCCTATAACTTTTATGATGTACATTGCTAATAGCATATAAATAAAGGATTTCCTTTTTTTACTTTGAAGATCAAACAACGAAGAACTCAAGACCTAAGTCCTATAGTAAAATGAAGCTTATAAACAATGTTTATGGGATTTTTGTTTGTTTGACTGTATTAAGCAGTAATATGCAGAGTTCCACCTCATTTACTCCCAATGTAAACTTCGCTTCTGATTAAATCAACATAAGAATGTCTTCACTATACCCTCTTAAAAATTAGCAAATTATTTTTTATGAGTTTGCATTGATTCACTTGGGAGATTTTCCTAGAAATGATGCATTAAATAGAAGACAAAATTACAGTGTATAGACTAAATGATCAGGATATGTTTTCCATGCACTCCAAAGAAGCCAGGTCTACAGGAAACCAGCAAACACAAACAGGACACCAGTATCCATACAGGTGTATATCACCATATGATAAACTACAGGTGTGAAGCGTCAAACTTATTATTTTAGATAAGCATCATACGACAGTACAAGGGACATATAAATCAGTGATAACTAGGTTCTTTCTACTTGTAATAAATTGGTCAATCATACATATGTAAATAACTTCACATCATAACAAAGAGCTTCCAAAACAAACAAAAGCAAAAAATTGCTATCTGTTGATAAGTGATTGTTCTACAGCAAAATATGCTCATCTGTTAAAACTTTTACAGTTGACTAAAAAATTATTAGGTGTTGAAACCAAAGTTGCTCATGATCAGATGAATTCAGTTTTGCCTATTAAACAACTGTTTTAATATTGAAAAGTGTTATTTTTCTCATTTTCTTAAAAATCTAATTTCACAAAGAGATAACTAAATGATTTTATCTCAATCTTTGCCAATCTTGAAACTAGTGAAAAATAAATGCCTCACAAAAATTTCCCACTTTACAGAAAGCTGAGTAGATATGGGACAAAGTTGAATTGAAATGACAAGTTGCACATTTACACTGATCTTTACCCATGAAAAGCATAACATAAAATAGTGAGGAATAACATTCATAAACATAAAACATAGAGGTCAATATTTTCAGTAACATTGCACAAAGTTCATTCATATAATTTTTCACCAAACTGAGTTTTTAAAAGAATGGAGCCACACTGTGCACAACTTGTGGACATGCAAAATATACTCATCAGAAATGGGGGTTTAACATCCAAACCTTTTAGATCCCCATCTAAAAATCATTTCCTGATATATTACCTAATGCAACATGCTAAAAATAATTGTGTGGACATTAAATACATGTACATGTATATGTAATTTTTTGTGTGAGCAATTTATTGTTCTGTTAACTATTACACCTACCTTCACTAAATGCTGTGACAATAAACTTAAATCCTGTCCCTCTGGGTCCTTTTTCATCAGTTCTGAAAAATAAAAATACCACATTACAACTAATCCTGTTGTCTGTTTTTAAGTGAAATGATTTTAATTATTCCTATGAGTGCTATTTAGTCACAAGACAGGATTTAAATACTAAACAATATAACCATTCCTTAGAGTACCATTTTAACATTTATTGAAGAAAATTCAACAATAAAAAATGTCTTTTCTAAATATTATCTTATAACTATATGGTTTTTCAACAAAACAATCAAGATAGTTGCTTTCTTGAGAAACTTTAATATCTTTTTCTACAAAAGTCTTTTTTTCAATAACTCAACATCAACAATCCCTTTTCTGAACAGCATTCATTAACAGAGAATCACTAGACCTCTGGATCATCTGCTTTCTAGGTGAGATATTGTGTGAGGATAGTCCAATTTTCTAATTCCCCATATAGACATGAAGACTATCCAAGGTAAGAGTAATGGAATATCAGGCCAAGGATCACCCAAGGCAATAATGAGGCAAGCTTTGCCTCAAAGAATAGGGTAAACACTACATTACCATGTCATCTGAAGTGGACAATCTATCATGAACCTTTTGTCCCCAGAATACCAGTAAATAGAGTAGGTGTGACATACAAGTAGGAAAAGGTTTTAAAGATTTGACAAAATATCATATAGGAAAAACTATTTTTTAAACAAACCTCCCTATTCCTATTTTTAAATTACCTATGTCTCTTACTTCCCTATAATATTAGACTAGAAATTTAAAACAAGGAAATGTGGCATGATTGCCTATGAGAAAATTATCTAACAAAGTCCAAATAACATTTTAAGCAATAATATGTCACTGTACATTTTCGACAATGAGCAAAACGTTTCCATTCTCAATTCTATTTCTGTTAAGTTGCAAACTTTTACAAGGGGTAAATTTTGATAATTTAGCAATTAAGATAAAATCATGAAAATAAATTTGAGATATCCAACTTTATATTTTCCCATCTAACCCTGCACCCATTTTTAATGCAAGGAATATTCTTACACATATCTTTAATACTGCTTACTTGGCACAATTTACACAATCAATAAAAACTGATTTCAAAGACAAAGTTAATTAAGAAAAACATCAAACATTTTGTATTTTCATTTATCTCAATCAAAAACCTTTGAGAAAAAAATCCAATGTTGTTCTCTAAAGTTGCTGACTTTTAAGATATTTTACAGGAAATGAGATATAGCTTTTCCTGCAACTTGTCATAAAACATAATCTTGCTGATAAAAAAAGACTTAAGTTAATATAAACTATGTATCATGAAATAGTTGATGATTGTGTCACTTGTAGTATATAAATCAAACTTTTGAAACAATTCTGGAAATGTTAAACCAGAAACAATTTCCATTATGCAAATTTCCATGCAAACGGTCAATTCTAGAGAATATAAATATAAGAGCTGTTTAAAAAATGCCAGAATCTCAAATTGCTCAGCTTAGCTTATGAAAATCTAATGTTAAGCTATCTGAATCAAGCTGTTTTGCCAATTCCTATTTTAAAAACCTAACAATTTTGAAACAGCTATTGATAAGATTTAAGATAAATATGACAGGTACAAGAAAATTGGTTCATATATGAAAACTTTATGCTATAAATGGGATATAAAAACATTTTTCTGTGACTTATCTCTTCCATTTATTTCTCACATCAATTTGAAGATTGTAATGACTTGATGAAGATTCCAGGTTAATGAAGCATTGATCTCTACTGAAGTTGAATTTGTCATCTTGAGGAGATCACTTGATAAGAACTTAGCAACACATCAAACATGTGAAAACTTGTTGCATGAATGCCTGAATTTTCTGTTAACAATGAGGAGTATAAATATTCTTGCATTATTTTATCATATTGCATTTCATTTACAGGCAGTGTTTTAGACAGATTAAAGTTCTGAAGAGTGTGTAAGAGTACATGGAAAAGAAACCTTTTGAAAGATGGGGGTGACTTAAAGGGAGGCGGTCATGAATTTTGATTTTTGAAGGATGGGGGGTTTACATAGAGTAACAGGAAATTTCAAATTTGAAAAGATCCCTAATCGGTCTTAACTAATTCAAGGGAGCACCACCATTCTATAAACCCTGTAAGGAAAACACTCATGGAAAGGAGCACCACCATGCTAAAACCCTGTAGGGAAAACACTCATGAAGGGAGCACTACCATGCTATAAACCCTGTAGGGAAAACACTCATGGAAGGGAGCACCACCATGCTAAAACCCTGTAGGGAAAACACTCATGGAAGGAAGCACGACCATGCTGTAAACCCTGTAGGGAAAACACTCATGGAAGGGAGCACCACCATGCTAAAACCCTGTAGGGAAAACACTCATGGAAGGGAGCACCACCATGCTAAAACCCTGTAGGGAAAACACTCATGGAACTTGGAAGGGAGCACCACCATGCTATAAACCCTGTAGGGAAAACACTCATGGAAGGGAGCACCACCATGCTAAAACCCTGTAGGGAAAACACTCATGGAAGGGAGCACCACCATGCTGTAAACCCTGTAGGGAAAACACTCATGGAAGGGAGCACCACCATGCTAAAACCCTGTAGGGAAAACACTCATGGAAGGGAGCACCACCATGCTGTAAACCCTGTAGGGAAAACACTCATGGAAGAACATAAAATAAAGGAACAATTTCATACAGAATGGGAAAAAAATTGTAAAGATTCTGGGAGATTCTTACGAACTTGACAAAAATTGGTCGACCTCCTTTTCAGTACAAAGGATCTGACAAACATGTTGCCATACTAATATAACCCTGTTCAAAGTAAACTTAAACAGATTCATCAAAGATTGATCACCATTAATCTGCACAACTTAAATGTGGAATTTTTCATGTATTCCAATTTTGCCCATTACTATAATTAGTATTTAGTCATAATAAATTAATGGCATCAAGATGGAGATCAATAAAGTGCAGTTTTTAAATTAGCAACCATTCATTTATTTTTTGTAGAAGTCAAAACATTACCTGTAATTTCTTTCATTTTTCTCATCCATTGAATTCAAACATTTTTTCTTAACTTAGTCTGAAAAATTTAATGTTTACTTTCACATTACTTTCTTGCCTATCCCACACCCTTTTTAACTAAAAATCAAAAGATGGATCCCTCATTGTAAACTAAAAAAGAGGTATTTAAGGACATAATATTCCCCTGAGGTAAAGGACATAATATTCCCCTATTTCTTTCACCTCTCCCATTTGCCTGTAATTTTTACTTCAGATCAAGCTTCTGCTCACCAAAGATAGCAAGCAGTATATGGAAAACTATGTTCAATATATAATCTATCTTAAATACAATAACACCTATATGGACCATGGCAAACAATATATTTCGTCATTTGACGTGACTCTGTACTTATATATCCCGTCATACTTTGAACCACACAATTATTTTATGTATTAATATTACTTTTACTGTTAAGTCTGGTTTTTTTTGTGATATCCATTTTACGTGACTCTGTATTTATGTATTGCGTCATACTTTGAACGACAAAATTATTTTATGTCTACCTGTGCAAATTTCAAACACACGATTTTACGCCAGTACTTAAAACCTTCCATCCTTTACGGGTGGATTTTACATAGATATATAAAATCATATAATATAAGCAAAATGAGGATGTTAAATTTGATGTATGCCTTTTTGTGCTTCTTCCTTACATTTGTTTGTTTTTATAGTGATTAAGATGATAACACAATGTTGACTGCTGTACCCCTATTTTTGACATTTTTACCTATTGTGTCTGTTTGTTTTGTTCACGCATCGTTGTCAATATAATGGAATTTGATGCGACTGTCATACAAGTGAGACGTTTAGCTAGCTATCAAACCAGGTTCAATCCACCATTTTCTACATAAGAAAATGCCTGTACCGGAGTTCAGTATTTTTGTGATTTTGCTTTTTATATATACATGTGTACAACAAAGTAGTAAAACCACAATTCCATAAAAAAAATCGGTCAACCAAGAATGTGACCAAAATTTGATCTGTAATTATGTCATTATTTGACACAATTGTATCAAAATTCAGGTAAATATCTACAGGCAAGAGGAAAAGAATCAGGACAAACGTTTGATCTCAGAATGATGGATGAAATGTCACCAATAACATATTTGTTCCTGCTACTTACTGGCAGGACACAAGAAAGATATCTGTAATAATACTTTCTACACAGTTTGTACAATTTCAATGTCATCTAATTTTATTGTTGAAGGAATGTAAACTTGTACTGGTATTTACATTTTGCCAGTATTGGACAAAACTCAGTAGATAAATTGAAAGCACCATTTCATGTTTTCATATTACTCAAGCAAGGATAAAACACACACACACCTACAATCTGTAAAGGTAGTTGTGATCAGCCACCGAAGCTGCTCTGATTCATGCTTTAGATCCTTGTTTATGGTTAACGTTGCTTCAATTTTATTAAGCACTTCTTGGGAGTTACATATCTATAAAATGCACCATTAAATGACAGTAATAAAATTATTTATTTATAGTATCACAAGATTGACTTTAATGTTGGTGTTATCACATTTTCTAATATAATTGTCTTTACTTTCATCAGTAATATAAGGTGATGATGATGCCATTCAATGGTGATGAAGGGTTAAAAGGCCTGTCAGTCATAAAGAGCTAAGTAACATTTGATGTTATACTATAGCAGTAATAGATATCAGATGTTTGATGAATGGTTTGATTTGTAGCACCTGTACATAAAGGTGTTAATTGTTACATGATATTTCTATTTTAAAATCCACTTTTATTAGAAGGGATAGGTGGTATTCTGTAAGATTCCACATAAATCAATCTACAGATATAATCAACATCTATATTTACTTTTTGTGAAAAGATGAGCACATAATAAAGTTATATACCAGGTGTATTTCAATGGCAGATTTAGAAAAGGGGAAAGGTAAATTTTGTTGATACATTTAAATATTTTTTCAAATTCATTTTTTTTACAGTGCCCCCCCCCCCCCCCCCCCCTTTTCAAAATTCTTGGATCATATATAAATGGATTGTATATAATTCTCAGTTTTAATATATTTTATAAAGTATGATTTGAGGTGTGGACTTAGAGGGGACAGGGGCATCTAGTAAATTATGTTTTAAAGCTTGATTTTTTTCTCTTTTAGCTTTTTTTTTAAGTGCTGTTAAGTTTATTTCCAAATTTTCTACTGTATATTCAGGGCAACTAAAAGCTTTACATATAGTGTAGACATTTGTCTATTGTTATTGACCTCAGATGGTTTATTTTGTTTGTTGTGTTGTTTAGTTGCTGTGTCTTTGATGTTTAACTCACATCTACATTGTAGTTGCACAGATATGCATCTTTAGTTATCTTTGTTTTTTTCCATATTATGACATTAATGGCTTTCGTGTGAAGAACACATACATGACTTGTTTTGCTAGCTTATCTCTGAGAATCACCAAATCATAAAAAACACAAGAACATTTATCCTAATACCCTAATGGTAAAAACAAATATTTTCACCATATTCTCATTATCAGATCACAATTAATGGTCGAATTCAAGGTCTATTTAGATTAATTCTTTATACAAATGACTAGAAAACAAATACGAGCCATCCGTTTTCATAAACTAGGCCAAAAGAGGTGTGATTCCATCTAATTAATGATAATTTTGATATCATGTATTGCTATTTATATTAAATGTTGCATGACTTTAACACATTAGGTTTTAATTCTGGGTCATTTATTACCGATCGATGGGTCATCCATTTATCAATATCATATTTCTTTGTAGAATAGCAAAGAACGGAGTCAAAGTTTATGAATCAAAACATCAGGTAAAACAACTTTTTAAAAACATTTCACCATTCTTTGTTTTACTGTTCTTATTGGTGATCCCATAATGTTTCCCTTATTACAACATTCTTAAAGTATCTAATTTTAAAATTCTTTATGAAAATGGAAATGGAAATAAACTTAGGGAATTGTGTGGGACTTTTGACATAAAAAGCAGACAGCATCTACGTCATTTGGTCACCGGTGGATAGTTGTCTCCTTGGCAGTCATACCACATCTCATTATTTTATAATGCTTTACAATCCGCTACAAGAAAATATATGATTTATTTCCTCTTCTGGTCATTAGATTTTTTGACATGTCTGAGATTTAAAATTCTTGCTTTTTCACAAACTTTCTTTTCATTCTCTATAATACCATCAAAACACATTTACCCAACAAAATAAAATAACATTTACAATATCACACTATGAGATAAAAGTGTACTTAACAACATATGCTAAATTTAAAAGAAATAAGATCCTAAACCAGTCAATTTTAAATTCTTAAATGCTATTTTACTTTCAAATTAAGTCCAACTAAAATATAAATAACTTTTGCAATCAAATGTAAAAACAGAAGCCAAGGCTAAACTTAAATTTAGTTAATAATTCATCATTTCCCAGACTTAAATACCTGTCAGTGTCAACTTGTACTGACTCAGTATATAAGCATACTAAGACTGACATACCACCCTGACAGTATTAGTAGTAAAAATTAAGATTTCTTGTTATACTGATAATTTATCTGCCATCAAAATCATTATCATTACCACTGTCTGACAGCAATAAGTCACCACAAATTACTGCAGAATTTATGACAGCAAGCTGTAACAAGCTTAATGTCACATGGAGAATTAGTCACAAGTCAGAATTAATTTACTTGTTATTATCTAGTGCTTACTTTACATCATTAACAAAACTTGTGGCATATGTACTTTGGAGAATCAGGATTGAAAACATCAGAATAATATCTACCTCAATCATGATTATCTTGCTTGATCTCTGGTCAGTTAATGCTGGTAATCTTTTTTATATTCATTTCAAAGTTAAGCCTTAAAAGTTTCTTACTCAAAGTCCAAATGGAAAAAAGAGGACATGAATGCCCCACTCTAGCTTGCTTTTCAAACAAAAAATGGGGCAGACGGAAAGACGGAAAGACAGAAGGACAGAAATACAAAAAGACGAATGGACTGACAGTCAAGGATAACACTTAATGACCCCTTCACCTATTGGTAGAAATGTGACTTTCCATATTCTCCTTTAAGGTTACAAAACTTTTAAAATATCTATCTGATTATAATTGATGTCTTTGGGGGTACATAATGATGGATTATTGGACAGTGGGAATCTTCCAACTAAGTTCAGGTAGAGAACATGTTATTGTGCTTGTGAAAGATCCTACTTTGTACTAGACCAACATGCTGAGACTTTTCCATAGGAAGACTTTTCATTACACCCAGACTCATTTTCCTGAGCAAACCTGACTTTGCTCATACCTGCCTGGTGGGGTAGCAGAAACAAGTATTAAGAGTGTTTTGTTTGTACCTACCTGCCCTAGCATCAAACAATGACCTCCCAATATCTGAGATAACCAGGTTATCTGAAAAACTATAATATACAGGGGATACTCCAAAATTCTTTCATGTGTACATACGGCTATAATAAAGGTTATAAGGTTATAAGGTTATAATAGTACATACGTAATATGAAGTACAGTATATGAACTATGCATACATGTATATAATGATTATAGAGGGGCACAGACATGGTGAAATCTCATTTCTCAACACAATGCAAAATTTGTCACTAACATATATGGCAAATAGACCCACCTGACCAATAAAGTGAGAAATTCCATATAAATATGTATACAACTATGCCAAGTAGGATGCAAACATTAATAAAACAATTAACCAAACATAAATTTAACGGCAGATGTTGTAGAAGAAAATTTCACATTTTTATCATATTTCCTTTACTGGAGGTAAAACTGCCAATCTTCTGAACAAAATAGCATACAGTCACATTTTTATTTAAACCATTCTTAAACTGCTACAAGCTTCATATTTCATCAAAACAATAGGTAAAAAAAAATCTCAAGAAGAATCAGAAAACAGGGAAAGATAATCCCATAAGGGAATAGCTATTAGGATTTTTGGTCTGTTGCCTATGATACTATGTTTATGATTTTTACCACTTAAATAGTTAAAACACAAATACTTTAGCTGAGGATGAGAGATTTATCTATCACTTTACATTAAACAGTATCAAAGTTATTATTAATAATCTGCCTATTTTTTTTATTTTAGAAGAATTGGCACCATGCTTACTTATCGATGGGTGGCATGATGAAAGATCATAACTAAGTGATGGCAAAAATTACAGGTGATGACATAGTAAACCCAACTGAAATCTGCAGCACAAGATTGCAGATGAAGATAAAGGCATTCTTATAATTAGTATGCATTAAGGTTTATGTAATCTGTAAGGGGCGCAGCATGAAGAACATAAGTTTCCCTTAAATATCAACTGACAAGATCAGAAAAATCTGTAAGAGGATTCACTTAATTCCATTCTCAAAAATCTTGTCTGCCAATACCATGATGATGGCATTAAAAACTATCATAAATCATCTTTTTCTGGTTTTCTGGTGATAGCAAGAAAAAATAAAATCCATCTCAATCTCCACAAATTTTTATATGTCAAATAATATGCACTCAAGATAACATTTTGTAGATTAGAATGATTACTAGTGACAGTTATTGAACATTTTATTCTACTATCTTTAAAACAAAAGAAATTCAATCCTCATATTCTTTTAAATGTGTTTTCCTGTCAATTTTTTGTCTCAGATTTTACAATTAAAATTTCATAGCAAAAATAAGTTATTTGGCAAAATGAAAATAAAGCTATGAGTTTCTATCATACTGATGTACAAAATGAAAATAAAGCTATGAGTTTCCATCATATTGATGTACAAAATGTGTATCATTTTTTTTCTAGTTTAAAAATTAAATAATGAATCAAAGTAGCACTCAAGATTCTAGGCCAATTGTAAATCTTCCACAATGCATTATTTTTTTCTGTTAGAACACATTAAATAATGCATGTTATTTCAATTAAAGAATACTTTTAGCAGCATGTCTGGCACCAACGGTCTGGTACTTCATTTCAAGAATAATGTTACCTACATAGTACACACAGTCATTTTGCAAGTAATACTAAGCCTATGTCTACTGATAATAAATTTAAACTTCAATAGGTTTTAAACTACTAATTCCTACTCCCTTTGCCTCTCAACTCATTTTCTACTATTTCAAAATTCTGTGGTCTTTTCTAAAGATGACAATTTGACATTAATGCTATGAAAACTGCATTCTTGCTTAATTGCAAATAAGAGAGAACTGGTTCCCAGAAATTTATATTTTGGAACAGGTACTTCCAGTTTCTGAAGGACTTTCCACAGTACAAATATACTTTCTGTCAACACGAAATTTGAGAAATATTCATAAATATGCAAAATAAATGCATGATACTGTTTTCTACACATTTTCAGTTTTTATTTGATGCTAAGATGGCTTAATATTTTTTTACAGTTAAAAGTTTCATCAACAGGAGAAAACTTCTTTGTATAAAAAGGAACTATTATAGGTGTGTTTAAATGCAGAGCTTCCTAATTGGTGGTTCTCCATGTTTTTTTGCTAGTAACCATGTCTATGCTGACAGTTTTCAAGTTCTTAAATATTGCTATAGTACCTACATTACTCAAGTCCCATTTTAGCAATTTCATTTTCAACAGCTTTCATTTTTTTAAATAGTTCCTGGAATGGTGAGTTAGTCAGAAATTTTTTTTTTCAATGTTCTCAAAGATTCAAAGTGACTTTGTCTTTGCATACTAACCTGAAATGAACTGTTATAAACTGACCACTGGACTGCATTGGTTCTGTCGGTACTTCATTTCCACATAAACCAAAGTTTCCTCCTGCTTCCTCCTAGAAAAAAGAACACTTATATTATTATCAGAGAACTGATAAACAATTCAAAGTTGGTCTTTCTTTAATGATCAGGATTATCATAGATTTACAAAGAAAATTCAATAAATAAAAGAAGTGTTCTCGTTTCTCATTTTTTATATAGATTAGACCATTAGTTTTCCTGTTTGAATTGTTTTACACTATTCATTTTGGGGCCCTTTATAGCTTGCTGTTCGGTTTCAGCCAAGGCTCTGTGTTGAAGGCCTTACTTTGACCTGTAATTGTTTACTTTTTATACATTGTGACTTGGATGGAGAGTTGTCTCATTGACACTGGTACCACATCTTCTTATTTATGTGTACAATACAATAAAGATGACACTTTTCAGATAATGCAAGTCATGAAAAGATAATACACATTAGTTTGTACTAACCTGAATGATTTTAAAATTTATTCCTACCATAAAGTTTTGGGATCATATTGGAGAAAAAAAATATGCCAATCCTAATGCGCCCAAACTAAAAATCAATTACCCTTTCTATCATAGAGCTTGCTAGTGGAAACAATATTTGTAATATTTTTCTTTTTTTTTTCTTTTTTTGCCATTGTTCTAGAGCTCACATATATTATATACATGTATATATAAATTATATACACAAACATGAAAATCATAATGTATTGTGTTGTGTGTATAAATGCCATGCTGCCCATCAAGGGCCCTTGATTGGAACAATAAATATTCTTATTTTTCTTATTCTATTTTTATATAATGCTTTGACTACTATTGCTTAATGTACCTGTATTTGTTGTGAATATGTTATGATATTCATGTATATGTATCAACATTCAGTAAAAAACAATAAACTCTGCATGTTATCATACAAATACATACTGCAAATATTTATACAGGTACAAAAGTGTTTATGTACCCTCAGCCTAGAAGTTCCTGTTACATGCATAGCATGAAAGTATAATAGGTATAATATCAGGCCACTTTAGCTTGCTGGACAATATTTTTATCAAAACTAATTTCGTGTATCTTAAAACAAAACTATAACATGTTCCGATATTAATAACTTGTGCCTATTATAAGGAAATGAGATTAATAAAGTAATGAACTGTGAAAATAGATTTTGTAACCACCTTTCAGTACAACAATATATGAAACATTATAACTGTGAGAATAGATTTTGTAACCACCTTTCAGTGCAACAATATATGAAACATTATAACTGTGAAAATAGATTTTGTAACCACCTTTCAGTACAACAATATGTGAACCATTATAAAGTTTGAACAATACAACATAATGCATCCCCCTTTTTTAAAGATAAAGAAGTTTCGCAGATTCTTTCAAAAAAGTTTACAAAAAATTATGAGTGGCCACAACAGATGGAAAATTACAGGTTAACTTTAGTTGGAGTTAGTTTTTCATTTTATGTCCCTTTACGTCATATAGCTTCTAATATTTCTACATATTTCTACATCCCTGGCTTTCAAATGTTGGGGTTTGATCATTTCTGATGAAGGTAAATCAAAAAAAGCACCTTGGACTCACAAAATTTATAAAGTCTTAGTGTTATTTTCATTTGAACTTTGTAAATATAGCCTGGAAATAGTAATTATACTATATCCCAGATACATGTATATCTGATTTACAAACCATGCCTCTTTTGGAAAGATACATAATATTTAAGGATATCTTATTTTTAACTACATATACTGGTCTCCATGTTTCATCTCAAAGATACAATTTGAGAACTTTACCAGTATAAATGAAGTTGTAAAGCAGTCAACATAAATTCTCAGGAAGACTCAGAGGTAAAGGGAGGGGTAGTGCAAAATTTTAGTATTTACAAGCTTAATTAAACTTTTAAAAAATTGGATGCATATTTTAAATATCAAATAAATGCCACACACCCCTAATGGCCCTATGTTTCAACCTGCAAAAATAAGTATTGCCTGTGAACTTTCCATTCCAGTATATGGACAGTGCTTATGGATTTGTTTATGAAACTTCATAGTAAAAGAGTTCAAGGTATAAAGCAGTTCTTATGGGAAATAATATAAGTTATATGGTTCGCTACTGACCCCCTACGGATCCATAGAGGGTTAGTAAAATCCATAGGGGGTGAGGCCGGAGGCCGAATCCCCTGTGGATTTTATTCACCCTCTATGGTCCGTAGGGGGTCAGTAGTTAACCGTATAACAAATTTATCACACTCTGGACTTTTTCTGCTGCGTTTTGTTGAAAAATAAACAATGGAACACAACAACATTAATAGATGACGTCACCATTTACAGTAGACGTGACGTCATGAACCCCCTATGAAATTTACTAACCCCCTACGGATCCATAGGGGGTCACCACGTGACGGCTTTAAACCAATCAAAACGTGATAATTTACCTGCGGTGCGATAACATAGGCTATTGAATGCAAAAGCAACCTACATACAATGTATGGTTATTGTAGATTCAACTCTTTCTTCAATAGGTATTGATATGCAAGTGGAAAGAGCAATATCTTCCTTAGCTATACATGTACTTTTATGTATATATTTTTTCAGTGTACATGTGCATGCAGAAAGTTCATTGTCTTCCATGAACAATTCCACTGCCTCCTTTAAAACATATATCCTTCAGCTGGCAATAAAATATGTAAAAATCATGGCAGCTGGTGTGTTTTATATTGATACCTAATGACCTCACAGTTAGCTACACAACATGAAATCATGTTTTCATACCTTGGCATGCACCTTTTTTAGCAGGTTACAAGCTAAATCCACATGGAATACCTAATCATTCAGAAGTTTATTAAGTTTTTTTAAACAAAAAATGTCAGATTTTACAACAAATGAGTCTAATCATTTTAAAAATTATGTTTAATAGTGTGAAGCTGGTGCATATTTCTCAAGTTTATCTAATCTGCATAAATACTGTCTGTCTTAGCTAACACAACTATTAAACAAAGTGAAAAATGATGGTAGTTTTTCTCTAAACATGCCAGATTTCAAAACACTTCATTGAAAAGGTCACTAATTTGTCTGCAAGACATGATGCCCAGTCTTAAAAACTTCTAAATAAAGTAAGAAAAAAATGTGTGGTCAGAGTGAAACATATATGGTGTCTTGTTGTGTATATGTAAGGCCACTAATGTGTCTGTAAACAAGATGCTCTGTCTTGGAAACTTCTAAATAAAGAATGGAAAAAAAAATTTGGGTCACAGTGAGACATATGCATAATGTACAATACACAAAATACAACACTGGTAAAGCATTATTAAAACTGATGTACCGTTTATCATTTTTTTTCGGCGAGTGTTTAATTTTGGATTTGTTCGAGGCACCCAAAGAAAAATTTGACCCCACGTAAATTTCTGAGCATATTCCCAGATTGTTAGCTGTTAAAAGTTTCATACATTATACTGTTGATTATTGAGTTTACGAGAAATTGATATATAAACTTATTGAACCAAACTCATTTCACCCTATAGTAAGACGAAATTACATTATGTATATAAAATCAGTCTTTTGTGTTGATCAGCAGATCACAAGAGTGTGCGTAATTAATTAAGATTTCTGCTTTCATAATAATTAATTTGGTTTCTCATACATGTCACACCTTTTGACAACACAGCAAACAGTGACATTTTTCAAAAATGTTGATTAGCAACCATCTACTGATTGTTGTCATGACTCCAACATTTTGCATATAATCATGATAATGCAAAAATAAAATTGAAATAAATTATGTTTATTGTGATATTTACACAAATATGCTTTATTAATTCTCTCTTATACCATTAAAAAATGATTGAAACCTGCAATTTTAGCATGCTGCAATGTATATAATTCAAAAGATTATTGAAAGATCTCCGAATTACATGTATGTGTATTTTAGCTAGTAGTCAATCAATCAAGTTTGTGTTGTTTATATCGTTTACAATACATTACGGTGATTTTACCAAGTGTATTTTCCCATTCAGCGAAAATTTAACCTGCCCATTTTGTCATCAATTCGTGAAAAAAGCCAAGGAGAAAAAAAACAGATATACTTTATAACAATAAGTTTTTTTTCAAAAATGAATCTAATTGGAAAACTTATTAAGTTTTCAAATCATGAAATGTAGATCATGGTGGCTAAATTTGTTTACAAATGCTGATTAAAAACAGTTGTATAATATTACATGTACATTGCACAAGATTTAACTGGTGAATATGGAAATATAAAGTCATGGTTTGCTATTACAATGATTAACGAGTTTTCCTGAATGACAAATTTTGTCTCAAATCACATGACCATTTTGTACCTTATTTGTCTTTTTTCACCATTCCACTACATTAGTAAAGAGAAATAATATGGGTAAAATGTTATGTTGATCAGTATAAATTATCCTCCACGTATAAAATAAATCCCTAAAAAGAACTAGGTCAATTATTTTTCCTTCTTTTAAATTTCACAGGAGAAATCTACAACAATATAAACTGATGAAGCAAAACCACAAAAACTGGACCCTTCCATAAAATTCTCTTCACAAAATCTTCCAAACAACAATCATTATTTAATTCTAGACTGATATGGAGTCAGCGTATCACAAAATTTTTAAAAGCACGATATTCCACCCAAAAGAAACAGTCTACTTTAATTTCCATGACAAAGATTCACCTTTCTTTTTATAATGTAAAACTAACAAACAACAAGAAAGAAGTTTTCTGTGCCAGTTCATGTCTATAAGTTTACATATAAGTCAATAATGGTGTCAATAATTGGGATATCAAGAGTTTGCTGTCACCGCTTGACAAGTGAACGTCTGGAATAAAAGATAAAAAATAAAACCAACACTTATAAGCTGTTTACTCAAGCGCCTGTCACATACTGCACTGTATAATTTACAACTCAAATAGCACACAAAGGTTCATATTTCATATATAATAGGCTTGGCAAGACGAATAAAAATAGGAGATTAATAATCAAAAGATTATTGTCATCTTTCTAAAAGACATTTCATACAATAAATAGTGAGAAAAAATCATTTAAATTGCCATTTAGCCAAGTTTTTAAACAAGTTTCTGAAAAAAGTTCAAAACTTTGACTTTGTTAAAGTATTTCAAGTTTGTCCTGACTTAGACAAATAATTTATGCAGAACTAAAATGTATAAAGATTACATAAGTTAACATAAGGATAAATTTGATGAAAAAAAACAGTGTTTGTAAGAATATCTTATACTACATACAAAATTATGTGTTTGCTGAATTCATATGTTATTTATTCCTCTTACTACTACTAACTACATTTACATAGAAACTTATTCTTTTATTTACCCCAAAATTTAACTTGTAATTGGGGTATGGAAATAGCCATCCCTGGACTTCTTCCATGTAACATGTTCTATGTAGGGAGAGTATCTCACTCTCAGCACATAGAACCCCTTCAACAGTTTTCTGGGGTTTCCTTTGGTGGCCTGTTGAAAGTTGTCTCTGTCTAACATGTTCTTATTTTCAAGATGCAGTCCAAATTTCCTGCTCTTCAATCTACTCCTACCGTTCTGAGTTTCAGAATGTCACCTACCTATTGTATTAATTGTTAATTTTTCCTGTCCTGAATGTGCATAAAATATTTGCCACTGAACATTAAGTAGTCAACAATGAATCTTTAATGCTGTTTAAATGTATCTTGTTTGTTCAGCCATTCCTAATCATTTTGTTTGGTTTCATAAAATATGAATCAATCTTCAAATGTCAAACATCAACACAGGATAGTATGAATGAAAATTAGAAACTGGCTTTGGGCTTTCAGTTAAGCTAAAGCAAATGCCCCTCTTCCTTTGACCATTTTTTTTGCAGTCTACTTTTATCAAGAACATTGAGATATATGTTAATGAATAAGGACAACAAATTCTTGCCCAATCGTACATTGTACCTTGAGAACCAGTAATCAATATAATTCCATGTCCTTTGAAAAGTTGTATAGCTTTCACAATAACATTCCAATATTTCTTAAATACATGTACATGTAAATGTATTAAATTTATATCTCAAGTACTGTACATGTAAACCAAATGATTTTGTCTGATTCTTTTTTTTTTTATTGAACACACACCTCTTCAAGCTGTAATGAGAATAGAAACAGGGAATGTGTCAAAGACACAACAACCCAACCAAAACAGTAGAAAACAGCCCAAGGCCACCAATGGGTCTTCAAGCAGCGAGAAAAGTCCTGCTTCTGGAGGCCATTTAATTACATATGGGGCAAAATCTGATCAATATTTCTTTTTGTAAGAATATTTTAAGATATTTAAAAAATTTTAATGCTAAACACAACATCATCACATAGAAGCCAGTTGTGAACACATATTTCACAACCTGAAGGGGAGTGTGATATATCTTCAACAGAGGCTACAATGATGTTGTGTTAAGCATTTCAGAATTTGAATAAACATACTATGTCATAGAACATTCTTACAGAAAGTATAATTATAACATCAACATATCTATAGCACTGTTACTACTTCGGGGGTGTTTAACCACCTTGACTACCCATTGGTGTTTCGCACGGTCAGTATGTCATAATTTCTGTCTATCTCATATTCTTGATTGAAAGGGAAGATAATCCTTTCATTTTCACAAAAATTCTTCACAAGCAGGTATACATGTACATTATATTGTTTGTTTGATTTTTTTGTTGTATCTTCTATTTATTCACACATATACTTGTAGCTATAATACTTACAAATGGATGTAAAATCTGATCACTATCAAAAACATATATAGCATCATTACAAATTCTATCTGTCCTGTCAGGTATATCAAGATTTACAAAACGTAACACAAGTTTCCAGCCTTCATTTTCAGCTTTAAAAGTCATTTGACATGAGATCATATGATCATAATATTCTGTGAATTGTTTATCGTGAGAATATACAGTAGCACCACCTAAATATTTATATTCTTGACATTCTGGGTTCTTCATATAATCTGAAAGTAGAAAATTATAGTTTGTATTAAATTTTTTAACAACTTTATTGTTCCACGTATAAAGTCCAGCAACATACAGTTAAGCTAGTCATGTTCCAAGTATGTAAACATAGTATAGGAGCACCATCTTCTATATATGTAGATACTCAGGGTCTGGGAAACTAAATTTGATTAGTTACTGTTTACTAAATCTGTTGTTCCATAAGCGTACATTTACTAAATGTATGAACTGGTAAAGGATTGAAGTTTTAAATTCTCTAAAAAATTACACAAACTGTAAAAGCAAAACCTTACAAATGTTAAAATTTTCTTGAACCTTATCATATCCCTATGAAATTTATATACATGTAGATGTTTATGGATTGAAATCAATCTTGCTCAGGTGAAAGAGCTAACTTCAGGTAAAAATAAAATGACCAACACAATATACATGTACATATATGGTTTTCAAATTTAAGAGAATGCAAGTTTTCTTACATAATCATTCAGTAAAATTGACCTCTATAAAATATACTTTCAAATCTTACTTTTGTGTTAATTTGACCTGTTGATACAATTTGTAATGTATTTTTGTTATTTAATGTTTACTTGTTTAGTGTTATATCTCGTCTCATTATTTTTATTATATACCACATTTGATAAGTGTTTAGTATGACGATAAATCTTCACTTCTGTTCTCGTACTATGAACAACAAAATTATTTATTTTGTAAAAAATATTTCCGTACTCCATGTATGCCTTACAACAAAATTATTTTTATTTACCTGTGTACGTTATTTTATTTGGCGGCATTTTGTCTAAGGTTATGGTTGTCTTTCTGATATTGTTTTACATCTACCCCCTTTTTTTTATTACATCGCGATGACCTTGAGGTCATCCCGATGTATTGCTATCGCCTAGATTTCCATTATGTAAATTAGTTTTGGGTTTGTAACCGATCTATAAACATGATAAATACGCGCACATAAACGAGTGCAAAATAACATTCCTTATCGTTTGATATAAATACATCTCTTCAATGAATACTGATAAACATATTTTTGTTTACAACATAAATTAATAATATGAAAATGTTTTGTAGTTAGATATATATATATAAGTAAAAAATCATTGATAATATCAATGCACACGTACCGAAAAATTGTGTTAAAGCATGCGGAAGAATATCTCAAAGAACGTTTTGTGAAAATACCGTCAAGGACCGGTAACTCTGTAATTGATTTTGCGGGAAAATATGAATGCCTACTCGTATCCAATCTTAGAAAAATCGAATTTTTACAGAAAAGTGTCCATCATGCACTTGCATTGCACTATTTTTAGAATAGTAGAATAGAATGATATACAAATGGATTCAAATCATATATATATGTAACTGTTATTTTAATATAATATAAACAACAACTCAGTGTATACTGATTTGTATCACTACACTATAATAGTTATTACAGTGAAGTTGAATTTCCTGTCATTTATTCATCATCCACGCACGAACTTGTCTCAGAAAAAAATATATCTCTGTACATTAACCTCAGTTTTAGGTAAAGAGATATGTTGTTTTTTTCTGAGACAAGTGTTTTTGACCATCCTCAAGAACTTGTGGTCATCCGATGTTCAGTACTTCAGTACTTTGATTAATTTTGTATTTACATTGTGTCATAGATCAATTTTATTCGTTCAGTGTATGTTTACTTGTTTTTGTTAATATGTCTTTTGATTGAGTTAGGAACCTGTTGTTCAGTGGTTGTCATTTGTTGATGTGGTTCATAAGTGTTTCTCCTTTTTTATATAGATTAGACTGTTGGTTTCCCTGTTTGAATGGTTTTACACTTGTCATTTTTGGGGCCCTTAATAGCTTGCTGTTTGGTGTGAGCCAAGGCTCCGTGTTGAAGGCCATACTTTGACCTATAATGGTTTACTTTTACAAATTGTGACTTGGATGGAGAGTTCTCACTGGCACTCATACCACATCTTATATCTATGTACATATATAACTAACTACTATGTGTGAGCCATTATACCGACACCTGCAGAGATAAATAATCAGTATTATGTTCTTCATAGACAGAACAGGGACTTAAAACAAGTCTTAAAGCATTCATACAAAAGCGAAATCATAATCACATAATAATATGACAACATTGAGATTAATTCATCACAGTGAGAGAAAAGTTGGAAAGCCAAATGTGCACTTACAAATATATATTTTCCTACTGCTACAAGCAGCTTCATTTGTTTATCATAAATTGTTCCTTTCATATAAACCACATTCTTCCTGATTCCGTACTAGAATTCTTTTTGCATGTCTTGCAAGACATCTTTTTTTTTAACATCACATGCTGAGATGAATAATTTGTTAATGAGATTTAATTTGGTCTTTAATTGATAAAAAGTTAAATTCCTGCTATCAACTTTGATCTAATGTAAGCGTGGGTATCTATCTGTGTAGTTCATCTTCTTTCTAACTGTGTTTAACTCATTATAAATACATCAGTTTAATTGGTTACACTACTTCTGGAATCATATGAATGTAAAGTGTTGACCTTCATGTAAAATTAAACAATAAAGTGTTGATGAACTGAAGCAAAGAGCAACATTGAATCAGGATGGCTTTTAGTATGATATTAATGGTACTTTCAAGTTGTGTTTGAATTTACCTGTCAGGTGATAATTGTAAACAACTGAAGTCTGACTTATCCATTTCTTTTTTTTTTTCACAGACAAGAATTGCCATGACTTAGTCAAATCAAGTCTGAGGTTACGGGACTGTTTATGCTTATTAAAAAGATTTATATGGTCCCACTAATTCAAATGATCCAAAGCAAAAAGCAACCAATTTATAGTAGCTAATTTTTTTTATCTTTCATAAAAAATATTCTCAAAAAAAGTATAACAAAAATGTCGAACTCTGGTTAATTCAAAAAGGGGAAGTCTGACAAAATCAAACATTATCAACCAATGGAACAAGTGAAAAGCAGCTGTCATATTCCTGACTTGGTACAGGCATTTTCCGAAGAAAATTTATAAGAGCTATACACATATATGCCTTTTACAAATGTAAGTCTTACTGGGTATCAAACTTATATTAAACCAGGACCTGAACATATCCACTCATATACAAACTGTAATTTAAGTGAATTCTAAACGTTTAACATGTCATTTTGTATGTATTATAATTGTTTAAATTGTACTTCTATTCAAATATTGGTGACAGTTTACATTAAGCCAGGGTGGCCTTATCTAATATTCTTGTTGACATTTGTGACACTACTCTTTACTTTTATCTGATTAGGATTAATATTCAATAATTATTTACTATATTATTCATAAATAATTCGATATACATATATATATAGACTCCTTTAATTTCTTAAATCCATAAAAGTTCAAAACTATCAGAATTTAATTTGCAGATCTTTGCATGTATACAGTGTAATACTATTTATAAAAGAACAGAGTTCCAATGTCCCCACATTGCACATATTTTATTTATCCAAGATACAAGGGCAATAACTAAAAATAAAACACTTTTTTGGATGTTCTTTAAAACTTTTTATAAATATCTTAGAGAAATGAAGGCTTCAGAGCAAATGCCACGACTTTATAATTAATATTTCCAAGGGGCATAACTCGTTAAAAATATTTGATCAGCACTTATTTTTCGAAAAGTGTCAAAGACATTGCTGATATAAACCTATGATATAAGTTTCATAAAAATCTGGCAAGAATTGTACACATGAGAACGTTAACAATGCAATTTTCCATATAATTAAGGTTTCCAAGGGGCATAACTCCTTTAATAATAATTTACCAGCAATGATTTTCGAACTCGTCAAAGACATTGTTGATATAAACCGATGATATAAGTCTCATATAAATCTGGCAAGAATTGTACACATGAGAGCTCTAACAATGCAATTTTAAATATAGTTAATGTTTCCAAGGGGCATTACTCTTTTAAAAATAGTTGATCGGCACTGATTTTCGAACTCGTCCAAGACATTACTAATATAAACCTATGATATAAGTTTCATAAAATTCAGGAAAGAATTGTATACATGAGAGCGCTAACGATGCAATTTTCAATATGATTAATGTTTCCAAGGGGCAGTACTCTTTTAAAAATAATTGATCGACACTGATTTTCGAACTCGTCCAAGACATTGCAAGTATAAACCTATGATATAAGTTTCATAAAAATCTGGTCATGGATACCGCTTATTGTTTAACTGATGTATTTTGTAATATTGTATATGCATATATCTAAGAGTACATTGTATCATAACAATTAATTTTTCTAAATTAATAAAATTGCTGAAATCAATTAGGGAGACCATCAAAAATTTGTATAAAAAATTAAAATAGGAGGTACACATTTGGCATAATATGTCGAAGATTTTGAGAAAGTTTCTTTAATTTAGTGGTTTAGGAGAAAAGAAAAGTACTATTGTGTGCTGTAGTATGTCACTTTTTGTGGATAGCATACCAAAGTGAACCTCAAAAATAATTAGGATGAAGAAATAAAATTGGAGCAGCAATAGTTATTAAGTGGGTATTAAGAATTTTTGTGAAAGTTTCACAAAATTCTGTCAAGTGTTAACGGAGAAAAGTGCAGATACAAAGTTTAACAGAAGGACAAACTGACAGATTGACTGTAATTATTATATATACAAATTTGTAACCACTAAGAAAGCAGTGGGTATAAAAAATTCCATATGTGCATTGTCAATGCAGTTTCTATTATTCTTAATAAGAAATAAACTAATGCAAACAATTGACATTAATAAAGATCCCTAACACATAAGGAATTGTATTGTGTTAAGAATTTTAAAATGAGTTTTATCTTATTTTACCCGTATAAAAATCGTGAAAATGCTTCAAATAACGTTGGTTTTTTTTGTGTGACTATAAATGGAACAAAATATTATAGTGTAAAATTCAGAAATTTTTGCAATGTTTTTATGACATTGCAAATAAAATGCTCCGCTGGGCGCAGCTTGATACGACCCCAGAGGTCGAACCCTGAACAGTTGGGGCAAGTATGGACACAACATTCAAGCTTGATACAGCACTGAATTTGGATTATAATTTAATATTTGACACAGCATAGGTTTCTGACACGGAATGAATGTGGTCTAAGAACTTAAAAAAATTTTAATTTACCTATTCAAACCATATCATTATTATTTGCTTTTATATATAAATCAGAAATAACCAATTTAAAATGGAAAATTTTAAAGAAAAAAAATGAAAAAAAAATCCCCCCCCCCCCCCAAATTTTTTGAACCCCTTATGATTCATCGACCCCAAACTCAATCCCAGCATTCCCTTTGTGGTATGGTACCTTGCAGTACAATTTCAGAGAGATCCATACATTTGAACACAAGTTATTGTCTGGAAACTAGAAAAATGCTGTTTTTATGGCCCCTTTTTGGGTCCAAATTCCTAAAATTTTGAGGCAATTACCCCCAAAAATCAATCCCAGCCTTCCCTTTGTGGTATGGTACCTTGCAGTACAATTTCAGAGAGATCCATACATTTGAACACAAGTTATTGTCTGGAAAATAGAAAAATGCTTGTTTTTTTCCCCTTCTTGGCCCCTAATTCCTAAAATTTTGAGGCAATTACCCCCAAAATCAATCCCAGCCTTCCCTTTGTGGTATGGTACCTTGCAGTACAATTTCAGAGAAATCCATACACTTTTGAACACAAGTTATTGTCTGGAAACTAGAAAAATGCTTATTTTTGGCCCCTTATTCCTAAACGTTTTGGGCAATTACCCCCAAACTCAATTCCAGTTTTCCCTTTGTAATATGGAACCTTGTAGTACAATTTCATAAAGATCCATACACTTACACACAAGTTATTGTCATGAAACTAGAAAAATGCTTGATTTTTGCCCCTTTTTTGGCCCCTCATTCCTAAAATTTGGAGGCAATTACCCCCAAAATCAATCCCAGCATTCCCTTTGAGATATGGAACCTTGTGGTACAATGTCAGAGAGATCCATACACTAACACACAAGTTATGTCTGGAAGTTACAAAAATGCTTATTTTTGGCCCCTTTTTGGCCCCTAATTCCTTAACTGTTGGTACCATAACCCCCAAAATCAATCCCAACCTTCCTTTTGTGGTATTGAACCTTATGGTAAAATTTCATAGAGATCCATTCACTTAAACTAAAGTTAGAGTGCAAAAACTAATGTGTCTTAGGACGACGACGACATCAATGTTCAGTATTCTTGTAAACAACTGTACTGTCCTTGATTTATATATAATATAATATTCTTGTAAACTTATATATATTTCTGTAAACCTTAATTTCACCTTCTTAAGACAAAATCATTGTGTATAGTATTACATGTAATTAGCTTTCATGCCATGTTATTGGCAATAGAGCTTAAAATCAATGCTGATGCACTTATAGAAAGCTGGTGATGAGAAAAGATTGAACTGTAGAGACTGTATACCTGTGGAGGTTGACAATTATAACAGCTGATCACTTTATCACTGATTTTAAGACCTAAACATATACATGCATGAATATGTTCTTTGTAATAAGCTTTGGTACAATACACATTTATATGCATGTACATGTACTTATAGTTTTAAAACCTAGTTTTACATTAATCCAGCTTACAGCATACATTTCTAAATGAATATATACATGTATATTTGTAAAATTGCAATTTCAAGAATGGTCTTATTATATGGCATGCTCTTTTAAAAATAAGATGTGGTATGATTGCCAATGAGACAATTTTCAGTCAAAGACCAAACGATGTAGAAGTTAGTAGCTATACGTGAAGGCCACAATACCGCCGCCTTAACAATAAGCAAAACCCAAACCGCAAAGCAAGCTATAAAAGGTGTAACTGTAAACGTGTCTAGATCTTAAGTATATAGAAGTACTCTTTTAACGATGATATCCTCAGCAAAACTTTGAAGTTTTGATATCTTTTTTATAAGGCACATTGACAACACTAATGACCACAAAATGTTGAACCATCTTTGTCCCTGGACACCTACATGTATACATTTTTTCCAGGTGTCAATGCTTAATGACATTCAACAACTTTATAACCCACTGGTGTAAAAAGTCTTGTAAAATTATGAGCCCTGCAGAACAATTTATGGAAATGCATGTACAGAAAGGGGAAGCTAAAGAATATTGGTGAATATACTGTGGATTCAGTTATTTATCTTAGTACCAATTTTTGTTGATTCAGTTATACTTGCATTTTGGTAGATATTTGATTTCATGGTTTTGCCAAAGTCTATGTGCAAGACAATAGAAAATTTGTAATTCTTTGAACATTTAAGTTCAACTGTACCAAAGAACTCCATGAAAATTGGTATCCCCCCCCCCCCAATAGTAATGAATCCACAGAACATCATCATCATCATGAGGATGTTCCCAAGATATACTGCAAAAATACTGCTACATGTGTACATATCTGACAGTAGAAAGATACATGTACGTGCACATGAACTTTTAGTAATTTATGTTTGTGATTGAAACACAGACCCACTTTACATTTGGATGAAAGGAGATGTGAGATAGACAAGAAGACAACTAGCCATTCACAAGGACACATTAAAACCAGACAAATATCTAGACCTGTTCACAATTCATTTTTTGCATCATATATTTAAAGAATTTCATTTGTCTTCCTGAAAGTAAAGACCTTGGACTTGTCACTGTCATGGATAACCTAAAAGTCAAAAACATGTTATGAAGACCCAAAATATGTACATTGCCATTTTATATACATAAGAATTTATTATTGTGTTCTATCAGAATTTTTAAAGTTGTACATAAATATTAAATTTAGCTTTTTACAAACCGAAAAATTGAAATCTGTATAAAACTAATATCTGTATAATAAAATAATGTATATATTCAGTTTTTTCTACTTATTTTTTTTATTAATCTTTCACTCTACCTTTGTTTTCTACCATACATATATATATATATATGTATGAACATGACATTTTTTGTGTATACCATTACATTGGTAATGATCCTTTTCAATATTATAGTACTGTGCCAAACTATGTATGTGTAATGTTCATTTACTCTGAACTACATGTGTACAATGGACATCTAACATTTATACAATCTACAGTCAACTTGTATAACACCCTTCAAATTTCTTATTTTGGCATGTGTTTCTATATTAATACACAAAGTAGTTATGAATGTAAAATTTAAAGGCTTGTGTTATTCATTATCTGTGAAATCAACCTTACAGGAAAAAAATAAAGGTTTATACAGATTACAAGCATTTAAATTCTGACACTTCATTTTTCCTTTATGAAAAGATTGTTCCATAATAGTTTCTCCTCCCAAATACCCATAAAAGATGGGAGTTAAATGTGATAATTTGTTCTCTTTTCAACATAATCCAACCTTAATTCAATGAATGATGGTGACCAAATTTCTCAAATTTCCTGGGGTTTTACACATTTAATTGGACAAAACTGCTTGCTTCAGTGGTCAGCAACAAAACTTCTGTGTTCCATTCTATTTTTGCACATCACACTAAAGGAGCATGCCACATAAATTACACATTAAACACCAATAGACTTTCTATCCATGTCAGATGTATTAATTTGAAGCTCATTAACAAGTTACAGGTTAGATGCTGTGCTTTATAGCACTCACTGCAAACTTTCTGGTTATATATCTATTATTAAAGGGCTTGATGTTTTCAGTTAGTATAAAAGCAATTGTCAATTAACCTGAAGAGAATTGTGAATGAATTTTAAAAGATGCTAATTTAATTTACAATATATATACATTGTTATTGGAAACAATTGTATTAAACAGAACTTGTTTATTTTGAAATAATGACCTCTAAACATGCAATTACTCAATTTTCACTGTATCATATGAACCATGAAGTAATCTAGATAATAAAGCAGGCACCATTAACATACAACCCAAAATTTAATTTGAATATCTGTGTTTTCCAGAGACATATATGGTTTTATATATCTCTGGTTTTTCAGATACATACATGTACATGGAAAATTGTCAAAAAAATAGTTTCATTCCATATTTTTCCTAAAATTATAATAGACCAATAAAAACTTTACCCTTAGTTTGGCCTGCTATATACATGTACATATAAGAGAGTATATCTACATTTGTAGTTCATTAAAACATTATTCAAAGAGAAAAAAATATTAAAACAAAAATAAATAAATTAATTCTATTATTAAAAAATATCAGTTAAAATAAAATTAAAAAAAAAATAAAATGCAATGGATTCCTTTTATTTTGCTTCAAAATATTATTTGGATGTCGAAAGGTCAAGAATAGTAAATTTAAATCGCTTCTTCAAGAGAAAAAGTTGAGCATGTTTATAAGAGTATTCTTTTAAAATACTAATTTCTCTTTTTTTAACACCTATGATTACATTTAACAAAAATCAAAATAAATTCTTTTTAATATATGTCATTTTAAAAAAATAATGAGAAAATAAAACAGCAACTTCTTTCATTAGGAGCATTTATTGTAATAGTTTGAAAATGCAGAAATAACTTGATAAATATCAACATATTTCTAAAAGGAATATATATTCAATTTTACAAAATGTGACGATTTTGTGATAATACATATTTACACGCTTGGTACCACTATGACACATGCAGTGCATTGTTAATGAATGCAAATCGATATAAAAGATGTGCCATCCATTGTCAAACTCGAGTGCGATAAGGCATAATTTAAACGAATTCATTATAGCTTCAGTGAACTTAAAAAATAGTAATTATTAGCCAGTCATAAAGATATAATTAAGTACTTACAAACAGAAGTTTTTTTCGTTTGAGATTCACTTAGAAGTAAAGTAAAAATCCAAACTAAAAACCAAGACTGACTTATCCAGTCTGGCCCTAACGCCATGTTGAGTTACCACTGAAACAAACCACTTCCGGGCAGAGCGCCATCTGTAAACAATGGACATGCAACAGGTGCGACAGTCAACCTGTGAGGCCTACCATAGGGTTAAATTCATACCTGTCGTCACATGACTAATCAGTTGCGCATTATTGGGCGAATGGCTGTTTTATATTTAATACAGTTTCTTCGTAAACATTTTCTACACTTTGTCTTTGTTATTATTTCATGATCGTCTTATTAATCATGGCTTTTGAATGATAGTTTGATCAAGTATTGATTAATTGATAAATGGAATTTGGGACGGGTGGGTGGGAAAAGGGGGAAAGTTCAATTCCACATTGTTCAATTTTGATGACATTTTCTCATTTTTTATTCGTTATTGTTTTGCCCGTTGTATTCTTTTCCTTACATTGTAGCACCCTTTTTTCTTTACAAGTTCGTTTTTTTTGCCTATTTTCTCATTTTTTTGTCTTTTTTCCCATTTTTGCCTATTTTCCAATTTTTGCCTATTTTCTCATTTTTTTTTTGCCTATTTTCTCATTTGTTTGTCCTTTATCCTCATGTTTTGCTCCTTATCTTCTATTCTGTCATGCGAAACCCAAAACAAGACCATCATCTAACAAACGAAATAATATAAGGAATAAGGAGAGCAGTAATCATTATTATATCCTAAAAGTGGTTTTGTTTGAAGGGAGCCGGATGCAGGTGCGGAAACAGATTTTTTTTTAATGTGATCCTAAGGGGGTTAAACCGAGAAAAGATAAGGGACTTCTATATATATTTTGACGTATCTGGTAAAAACATCCTGAAAGAGGGTGTTCCAAGCCTGTGGAATTCTACTCTTGGAAGTTCCGCCACTGCCTGGTTTGTTATAAGAACAGTGATATACAATTATTTAATGGTATATATACATATATTTCGACTCGAAATCAGAGGTCACAAAATTAGTACCAAGGATGCAAGAAAAGCTAGCAATATTCTGAAATAGGCGTATGGAAAGACTGGAATTTTGAACATCTCCCCTGTTTAATTTCCAGTTATCCGGCACATTTAGTTTTTATTGCAAATGATAAAGGACTCTGACTAGCTACTAGACTGAAAAGGGTAAGTATGATTGATATATTAACTGGAAGTGTGATGAGATACTGAAAGCTTAAAGTGTATTTATGAAGATTTTGATAATAGTAATTAGGATTGTCTTTTACAAGACAGTTCACGTACTCTTGTTGTGTAGTAAAACTTAGCCATTCAAGTATTAAGAACATATTCAACGTTTTGTTTTTTTTAAATTTGAAGTTCATATGACTTTAAATAAATCATATGTAAACATCACTGCCATTCAGTAACTGTCCTTTCCTAGATTTAGATGTGACGTTGTAATCTGTAAAATTTATTCACCCTGGGACGAATTTAGAACTTGACTTGATTTATAGATATGTGTCCCTATTGTTGAGGAATCTGGCGTATGTTGATTTTTTGTGTAGTTTGGTTGCTGTCTGATTGACGGCATTTACTCCACACCTCTTATATATATATATGTGTGTGTGTGTGGTGTGTGTGTGTTTTTTTTTTATTTGTTATTTTTTTAAGGCAGTTACATTTGCATCAGAAAGTAAAAAGGTTTTACACAGAATCAAAGTAAAAATTAAAACTAAAAAATTCACAAGACAAAGGGAGACAAAAATTGTATGCTTCAAAGAAAAAGTGATTTTATATCCTTCATAGATATATATTTATATATATATATATATAAATACTAAAATCAGGTCAACCTTGTGAAAAATAAAGAATTCATCCACTGAGTCAAAAAAAGCTAAAGCTAATATCTTAAACAACTTATGAATGAATAATTTTCTCACTTGATTTGAAATAAAAAGATACAAGATACTTTATTGTGCCAATCACGGCGCCCATTACGGAGCAGAGTAATCATCGTTACTCAAAACAACATACAATACAATACAATATAATAACTAGAGGCTCTAAAGAGCCTGTGTCGCTCACCTATCAAACAAAGGACACTCTCCAACATATTGTAGACGAGAATAGACTTCATGACGAAAATCTCTATTTTGTTGATCTTGTATTACTGATGTTGTAGTCTGTTTAGTTTCTCTCTATCTTCTTTAGTTTTTGCTCAAAACACAAAAGAGGGCAAAAAAATCCTCATTCAAGGACAATCACTCCTATGAAGAGTGACAGTCTACTAACTATATCGGCAAAATTTGACTTTTTAATGGATCTTGCCTTGCTGATCTTTTTTGTGATTTAAAGTGTTTATTTATCTATTATAATTTAAATCATGTAAGGCATAACAGAAAAAAACCTTTTTCTCTCTAAATATCATAGTTAACATGATAATAGGCAAAAATGAAAAAAAAAATGGTAAATTTGTCATTTATGGGCAATAACTCCTACAAGAATTTGTCTAACAGTTTTGACATATATGGACAATTGGTAGAGCTCATAATTCTGAACTTCCTTTCAGATTTTTTTCTATTATAACGGTTCAAAAAATAACAGACAAAACTTGCATATTACCCCTATGTCCTATTTTTAGCCATGTCTGCCATATTGGTTGGCAGGTGGGGTCATCGGACACATTTATTAAACAACATACCCTAATGATGATGGTGGCCAAGTTTGGTTAAATTTGTCTCAGTAGTTTCAGAGGAGAAGATTTTTGTAAAAGATTAACAAAAATTTACAAAAAAATGTTAAAAATTGACTATAAAGGACAATAACTCCTTAAGGGGTCAATTGACCATTTTGGTCATTTTGACTTATTTGCAGATCTTACTTTGTTGAACATTATTGCTGTTTACATTTTATCTCTATCTATAATGATATTCAAGATAATAACCAAAAACAGCAAAATTTCCTTAAATTACCAATTCAGAGGCAGCAACCCAACTACGGGTTGTCTGATTCGTCTGAAAATTTCAGGGCAGATAGATCTTGACCTTATCAATAATTTAAACACATGTCGGATTTGCTCTAAATGCTTTGGTTTCAGAGATATAAGCCAAAATCTACATTTTACCCCTATGTTCTATTTTTAGCCATGGCGGCCATCTTGTTTGTCAGGCCGGGTCATCACACACATTTTTTGAACTAGATACCCAATGATGGTTGTGGCCAAGTTTGGTTAAATTTGGCCCAGTAGTTTCAGAGGAGAAGATTTTTGTAAAAGTTAACAACGACGGACGACGGACGCCAAGTGATGAGAAAAGCTCACTTGGCCCTTTGGGCCAGGTGAGCTAAAAATGAAAACTCGACGGTAAATGATAAAGTAACCCTTTTCGGCTATTTTCTTAACCGGACTCAAGCTTTATAAAACATTCAATGCATAAAACCTCATTTATTTTCATGCGTCTGTACCACTTCAGATAGAAAAAAAATATATAGTCTAAGTTTTCCTTATTTAAACCATCGATATATCGTCTTCGGTCGTCGTTTCAGGTTTGCAACCTGGTTTTTATCTTCTAATTCCTGGGATATTTTATCCGGAGGGAAATCCTTCAAACATTTTATGGAAGTACACAAGGACACGGTCTAAATAGGAATAGCCAATAGATCTAAACGAATGTCAGAATATGTTGAACGTGAGTGAGGTTGTATAATGCGTTCATCCATCAATGTTATGCAATAATTCATATAAATACACCTATACTTGTGAAAATCAAGTAAAAATCATTTAAAAGCGTTTGGAACTTATATGTGTTTTATTTCAGGAGCCTCTATAAGCTAGGTATTATATAATCTTTTAGCTTTTTAATTGTACAGATTAGAAATTTAAAGAAACTTGAGAGAGTGTGGTATGAACTTAAGAGAGTGTGTAAAATGATGGACTTGCGAGAGTGCATGGTATGAGGAGTTTGAGAGAGTGTGTGATCTAAGGCTTGAACCACGTCCGGTTTGTTTTTTTGTTAGATGTTTTTTTCTGCTTTGTATTGATCTGATAATTTATTGATATTAATAGTTCGCCCTTATGCTGTGCCGTTACACCACTGTCGTTGGTTCATGTCTGTCATTTTGTTTTTCATAAATTGTTTTGTTATAAATTAGGCCGTTAGTACTCTTAATTGAATTGATTCATATTTTTTATGTCGGAGCCTTTGATAGCCGACTTTAAGGTATGGATTTTCTCTTTGTTGAAGGCCGCACGGTTGCCTATAATTGCGTACATTCACTTCGTTTGGACTTTGGTGGATTGTTGTCTCATTGGCAATCATACGACATCTCCTATACTTTTATATTGAGAGAGTGTGTGAAATGAGGGACTTACGAGAGTGTGTGATAATCATATGAGGGACTTACGATTGTGCATGAAATGGAGAACTTGACAGAGTGTATGATATAAGGAACTTGAGAGATTGTTTGATATGAGGGACTTACGATAGTGCATGAAATGAAGAACTTGAGAGAGTGTGTGATATATGGAATTTGGGAGCTTGTTTGATACGAGGGACTTACGATAGTGCATGAAATGAAGAACTTGCCAGAGTGTGTGATATGAGGAACTTGGGAGACTGTGATATGTTTGACTTACGATAGTGCATGAAATGAAGAACTTGAGAGAGTGTGTGATATAAGGAACTTGAGAGATTGTGTGATATGAGGGACTTACGATAGTGCATGAAATGAAGAACTTGAGAGAGTGTGTGATATATGGAATTTGGGAGCTTGTTTGATACGAGGGACTTACGATAGTGCATGAAATGAAGAACTTGCCAGAGTGTGTGATATGAGGAACTTGGGAGAGTGTGTGATATGTTTGACTTACGATAGTGCATGCAATGAAGAACTTGAGAGAGTGTGTGATATAAGGAACTTGAGAGATTGTGTGATATGAGGGACTTACGATAGTGCATGAAATGAAGAACTTGAGAGAGTGTGTGATATATGGAATTTGGGAGCTTGTTTGATACGAGGGACTTACGATAGTGCATGAAATGAAGAACTTGCCAGAGTGTGTGATATGAGGAACTTGGGAGAGTGTGTGATATGTTTGACTTACGATAGTGC